TATTGCATCATCCTCAGGTTTTTTATTGTTATTTTCATCTTTAAAACTAATATATATTTATTAATGCAACCATTTATTGATTTATTTGTTTTGTAGATTTCTTTTTGTAGGTATTCCTTTTGATATTCGTAGTGTTTTGCATATTTTTGGTCAGTTGTTCATTATTCTGTGAAACAATTAATTAACATTCGAATTATTAATTATTAATATGAAAATTAGTTTGGAGATTGTCGTAGAAAATATATTTGTAAAATTATAGGAATATAAATTCAACACAAACATGACGCATCTAAACTACAAATTCAATAATAATGAAAATTAAAAATAAGAGCACAAGTATCTTGCGGTAGACCGGGGTGGGATCGAAACCCCAAAGCCCACATCGGCAACTTAAACTAAACTCACACGTAATGGATGCTGGTGATGCAAGAGGAAAAAGTCTGAGACTATTTTAGAATGATGCATCAGACATCATTTTGAAAGATATTCCACTGTGTATTGTGAAATTGGCAGTGACTCCATTTCTTCAGTGAGAGTGGTTGGCAAGGAGGGGACGTTGGAGTAAAGCCTAAGGAAAATTACACGCGCAAAAGGACGTGTTTAGATAGTGGCTTGTGACCACTGGTTAGAGGTGCATACAAATACATTATACACAGCACATTATAATAAAAGAATAATTTTATGAAATTTCAAAACCTTCCAAGAGCATTTATTGGTTCTTACAGAATTAATGTATGAGGATTTGGACTAGATTTGTTTTCCTTATGATCCGCCGTAGCACCAGTCAGTATAGTGCCTGGTTACGGACTGGATGATCAGGGTTCGATCCCCGACGGGGGTTGAGGATTTTTCCTCTAGCCTCTGCGTTCAAACCGACTCTGGGGCCTACCCAGCCTCCTAAAGGGGTACTGGGGTCCTTACCCGGGAGTAAAGCACGACCGGGGCGTGATGCTGACCACTCACCCCCGTCAAGTGACGAGGTTAAGAATGAGTAGGAGCTGTAATCCCCCCCCCCCACACGCGCCTACATGGCACGTAGTGGGACAAACTTTACCTTTACTTTTTACTTTTTACTTTGTCTTCCTTAGGATAGGGTCCTATGGCTGGCTGTTTTAAAGCCAGTAGTGAACCTTTCATTTTCAGCTGAGCAAATATCAGCTTCTCACGAAGAACTCTGCTTCATAGACTTAGTATGTTACTTTTATCATTTCTCTCCATCTGTCTCCATGTAATAGTGCCCATAGTACAGGGCGAGAGTTGATGAAACTCAGAATGGCAGATTCTTACTATACTTTGCTAACTTATGTTCAGTTGAGTTTAATTTATTCTAATCAACGCTTTGCTTCTGGGCTTAAATAAACTTTTATACATATCTTACCAGATTTTTTTGATGTGTTGTCACATATGGCAATTTGTATTATATTAATATTATAATGCATGAATTTAATTCATTTTGAAGGCCTAAATATATTCTTATATATTCTTGGTCATATTTCACTTCAGAGGAAAAGTCTTGAATGAAAATTGTTAAGTACTGTACCACAAAGAGCAGTTGTTATATATTATGCAATATTTGGAAAACAGATTTAAAGGAAATCACTAATATAACAATGATACTTATAAATGCACCACTGAAATGTGTTCAAGCTCCTTCAAATGGCTATTTCATGTATGGGATTTTCTTCAGATAAGCAGCACTGAAGTAATTAAATTTACTTATTCTTCTTCTTCTATAGCTCTCCGGTCCGTATTCGGTCCATGGCCTCCTCAATCCTCCTCTTCCATTCGGTCCTCCGTTAGGTCCGTCTGTCCGAGGCTATGATTGAGGTTTCGAAACATCTTCCTTTTTACGGTGCAAGGTTGTTAGCCTTGCGACCAACCCCCAACCTCGAGGACCAGGGTACCTGTCTTAGTCTGACCTCTCCCCCTCGACCAATCTGGCTAGGGAGGCCCTACCAGTAGCTGTGCTACCGCCAGCATAGCTCAATTAAATTTACTACCAATATTTATTATAACAATCTTGTGAATATATATTCCCATTCAAATTGACAGTTCTGTTATTTACCGTCATTGCAATGCGTAGTGATTACTTTTTGCATTAAACAAAGAAGATTGAAGAAAACCATTCCATGGATAAGATATCTCTATGAAGGTTAGCTGCCATGTGTGAGAAACAACATGTACGAGGCGCGTCTCAAAAGTAAGTTTCCCAGGGGCCGTTTACAGAAACAAAACACAATTTCATGGAAATATTTATTGCAACAGATACAGCAAGTGTCCAGCTATTTTTCAACATATTCGCCACCGGAATTGAGACATTTGTCATACCGTGGGACCAACTTTTGAATACCTGTGTCGTAGAAGTCTGCCGCCTGGGATTGGAACCACTGTGTGACAACCATCTC